AAGAGGACCCAAGATGACGTCATATGTAGTGTAGCCCAAATCAAGTTCCGAGAGGAGAGCGCCGCAGAATCGCATGACCGGTACCCCCACCACGAGCACCAACAGGATGAAGTGAATCATCACTGCGGGAGTCGGAATGTAGAGTCAGCACGAGAATACTGAAGGGCTCACAACTCAGTCAGGGTTTAGGGCTTAGGGTTTAGGGTTTAGGGTTGGGGGCTCAGGGTTTAGGGTTTGTAGGGTTCAGGGGTTTAGGGGTTTAGGGTTTAGGGCTCAGGGCTCAGGATTCAGGGCTCCTTTACCTTTCGGACTGACATGGAGCACAGCTCGATCCCATGCTCTCTCGCGTCTTCGAATCTATGCCCTTTGCTAAATGAAGTTCACGACCGAAACCTCGGCAGTGAATATCTAGTCCGGAACCGCTGAAGGGCAAAAAAATTAAAAAAATTTGGTCCGGAACCGCTGAAGGGCAAAAAAAATATAAAAAAAATGGTCCGGAACCGCTGAGGGGCAACAAAAAATTAAAAAAATTGGTCCGGAACCGCTGAAGGGCAAAAAAAATTAAAAAAAATTGGTCCGGAACCGATGAGGGCTTGAGCGTGTCAAAAAAAATCAGCGACCCTAGGCCAGACTGTGCCCCATGCACCTTCGGTTGGTCGTCATATCCCACCGAAGGTACCCTCAACCCTCCCTTCCCGTCCGCTGGTGGCCTAGCCGGTCCTGTTGCTCCTCGAGCTTTCGCGTGGTGTCGATCACCTGTGCAGCGGCCATGTAACATGTGTGAAAAAACTGACACCCTAAACCCTAAACCCTCACAGAAGGGTAGGTGACCCAGAAAACCCTTCAACTCGACTTCAACCACAAAGGTATCAACCAAAAAAATACATGGGTAGGGCTTAGGGCAGTTAGGGTTTACTATAGAGTTTAAGGTCACCGGTGCAGACAAGCAGACGAACGACGCAGGGCTCTCCCTCAGAACGAGAAAAAACACAGATCCGACGAGCGGAGGACCTCAGCTGTAGGAAATCCTGAAAGCTTAAAGCGCAACACGGTAACACAACAAGGCCTTACAGTAGAAATGATGTATGTCCCTTACGGCAACAGTTGACACAAGGGCCCTGCGATTTTCCGGGCACCAGCCGCTTAGGGTTTAGGGTTGTTTTAGGGCTTTAGGGCTTTAGGGCTGAGGAATGCTGAGGAGTTGGGCTGGCCGAG